TCTGGCGTAGCCGGTGGTTACAGCTGGCAAGGCAGATCCAGCAGGAACCGCAGGGGATGGGGTTGGGGTCCCTGGGCTGGAAGGGGTGTGGGGTTGCAGGCAGGTGCTGCCAGGCCAGGGAACACCCTCCTGCTGGACCTGTGCAATGCTGCTCAGGGAGGGAGGGTGCAAACCCCACCCCATTCCCCCCATTCCCGGTCTGGGCTGCCCTTACCTTCATCCAGAGACGCGGGGAGCCCGGCCAGCTCTGCCTGCTGCTCCCTGCGGAGAGAAGCCCGGATAAACCCCAAAGAAACTCCGGCAGCAGAGGCAGCATCCCACCCCCTCTGCCCTCCCCCAGCTGCCACAGCACCCATTGATGGGATGCTGCTCTGGACCTGGGTCCTTTCCAAGCATCCTCTGCAGCCTGCTCCGTCCCTGTCCCCGCTCTCCCTGGCACGGGCACAGCAAGCCCCCTCCGCTCCCGCGGCCGCTGCAGAGCCACCACCGAGGAGCCCGCTGAAGCCGTTTCCAGCCAGCAATGAGTCACCGGCCCACGGCCGTGCTTCTCCTTAGCACATTTCTTTTTTTTTTTTTTATGCCCTGGCTGCCAAGAGGACCTCACTGCTAGCCGACCTCTTTGCAAGGCACCACAATAAACCTGGCTGCTGGCAGAGCCTGAGCGCCATCTCACGTCACTGCCACAGGGGTGGCAGGCCTTGGCGCACACTCCTGCCCCCCCAAAACTGCACCAGAATAGCCTCGCCACCCAAAAACCCTGTTCTGGGTGCAAGAAAGTCCAGCAGTTCCATAGCATCCCATCTTGCTGGGGTTGGGGATGCTGAAGCACACCAGAGATGGCACATCACCTGAGCATGGAGATATAGGGACTGCTGTGGAAACAGCCCTTTGCGGCCTCATGCTGGAGCTCAGCACCCAACTGGGAAAGGGTTTGAACCCCTAAACTTTGCTCCTAGCTCTAGAAAGGGCTACAACAGCACTTTTCCCTCTCCTCCCTGCAAGCCAGGGGGTCGTTCCCCAGGAGCAGTGACTGCAGGAGAAGGGGCTGCTGTGCTGAAATGATGCTCGGTGCCCCAGAGCGGGGTGATGTTCCAGCCACCATCCCCCCTTAACTGGCGCCGCTGCCCCTGTCCCATCCTTGCTAGCACCCTGAGAGCTGTGGGGTGAGCCCTTCTTGCACATACCTCTGAGGCGAGGGGCTGGGTTGGCAGCTCATCCTCTGCCTCTGCCGCCGTCGGCGCCCATGGGCAGGTCCCTGCACCTCCTCTTCCCTCTCTCCCAGCGAGGTCCTTGTGAGCGGCTTCATTTACAAAGCGTGGAGGCTCCAGGACCAGCACACCTATCATGAGAGATGCATATTAACTGCATGCAGATGGGAGAACGCCTCTAAATGTTATATTTTTAAAGCATTTTCTCACCCAGCAGGAGCTCCAAGCTCCTCTGCTTAGCGTGGAGGGATCTGTGGGAAAAGAGGTGGGAAGGACCACTGCAATTCAGGATGCTGCTGCTGGGATTCGGGCAGGCACAGAGCGAGGCGAACAAGGAATTTATTACAAGCACCATTTCTGCAAAGCGCTGAGGGAGGACTTTCCCACTCACTGCACCCTTTTCCCTCCCACAGGGTGATCCTCGCTTGGGGCTCATGATGTGGGTCATCTCTGTGGAGAGAGATAAGCTTGCACCCACCTGCCGGTGTGAATACCCGGTGCAGAGCAGGAGCAACCTGCTGTACCCCAGGTAGGGGACAGCCTGATCCCCAAGCATCCCCCTGCTATACCGGCTCCCAGATAGACAAATATAAGAGATTCCCAAGTCCAGCAGAGCTTGGACATCTCATTTAAGCTGTTTTGCGATATTTAAAAATCAGAGACAGGCAGCAGAAAGTGCGGAGAGTCCCTTGCCCAGCCCAGGGTAAAGTCACGGTGCAGAAGGGGTTCTCCTGCAGGACACATCTCTTCAGGAGCTGTGCCCATGGACATGCAGCTACGGGGCAAAAGGAGGGTGGTTTTTGGGTTGTTGGCTGGGACATGAAATGCAGCAGAGATTTAAGGGGACAGAAAGCAGGGACTGTTTGAAGCCCCATGTGCCTGTGCAAAGTCTTGGCCAAGCTCAATCACCCCAGCACCGACTGGGGCCATCACTCATCTGCCCCTGTGCCAAGTGGGGCCATCACCCACCTCCCAGGGTCTGCTCAGCCCTGATGGAGGTGTAAAAGCAAGCAGCAATTGGTATCTGTCAAAACAAGCCCATTTCATGCCTACACACTGGAAACTGTCCTCGACACCTCTGCCAAGGGGCCCGGGAGCCCCCGGCCACCAGAGATCAGCCAAACTCATCACATCAGTGAGCATCAGTTTTCCCAAGGGCTGGTCCCTGCTGCAAAGTGCTCACTCCCTAACAGCCACAGCAGACCCTGCATCCTGCTGATTTACTACAGCTCAGGCACCCTTACAGACATTCACTCCTTATCTTTGCTTTACAGATGGAAATACAGAGGCACACAGCTGGTTTGCCCAGCGTGGCATAAACAACCCCCCGGGAAGCCAGACCGAGTGCTTTCCCTCAGCTCGGCGACTTTACCAAACGCTCCCCGGGTCATTACCTGCCTGAACTTGTCTCAAGCAGCCGAAGGCAGAGATGCTGGGGCCACCCAGCTCAGACCCGGCACTCGGTGCTGTCGAATCTCTGGCAGACCCGGGAGGGGGGTCAGGGGACACGGCGCGGCCGGCAGACAGTGGGCTGGGGGGTGCCGGGGCCCCACGCAGTGCAAGCTGCCAGCAGCGGATTCTCCCCGGAGGGGAGAGCGGTTGCATCTGCGGCAGAAGGAGTTGCCAGGGAAGAGCTGGATGCGAGAAGGCCTTTAAAGGACATGCATGAGAGTGGCTGGGAGCTCCCTGCGCGGGGCTGGGGCGGGCTGAGCGGTTTGCAGGTGGCCAGGCAACCTCTGCTTTCAGTGCAGGGCCGGATCCTGCACCCACACGTTGGAGGTGAGAGCTGTTACCCAGAGCTGGGAGAGACCACAACTGCTCCCTCCGTGCCCGGTGTCTGCAGAGCGGAGCAGACCTGAGTCTCACCGTCTCCCTGGCAGGAGGCTCAGGGCAGGACAGTGGCACTCAGGACCTCCACTGAGACGGGGAATCCCTGGGGGGGGGGGGGCACAGCACCAGGCTAAACCAGGATGGGTGACAAGGAGTCCCTGTAGCGCTGTATTTGATGAAACAGGGAAGCCACTCTGCCCAGAACCCCCATCCCTCCTGCCCCTCTCGGCAGCCCCACTTTCCCCCCGCAGCCATCACCCTCACTGCCCCTTCCCGACCCCTTTGCTCAAATCCATCACATCCTCTAAAGCGGCTTTCTTCCCCTAATGAGCTTACACGGAGTCAGACTCGATGCTCAGCAGTACAGAGGACCAGCCTGCAGGCTGGCAGGTGCTGTTGGCCCCCCCCACGCCTGGGGACCCCGATGTACCACGAGGAATGAGGCAGGTCCTTGGGGTCTGTAAATCTCATAAGCCCTCAGAGGTCAGCCAGCAAATAGCATCTCATCTGCAGAGAGTGCAGGATGTGGCCCCAGGCCCAGGGAGCAGCCAGGGAGGGCTGAGAGAGCCTACTTGCAGCTTTGAAGCGGGAGCTGTGCTGTGCCACAGTGGGATGAGGCTTTTGAAATAGCCATCGGCAACAGTCCCCACCAGGTCAGGATTTCAAATGTCCTTGAAGCTTCAGGGATGGGTTTTCCCTCTTTGGGCAAACAGCTCCTGCTCGGACCTGACCCAAAAGCAGAGCTGCTGAGAAATCACGAGTTGTCTTAGGGGAAGGATAGCCACAAATTCCCATGCTGTCTTTCCTGTAACACACGTACATAGCAACACAAGCAATGGTATGCATGATTAGCACTAATTAATGACAATTAGCACATCCTAAGTTCACACTGACAGCACCAGGAAAACACCGGCCCTGCTGAATGGCAGATTGGCGCTGTTATCTTCTGCCTTATATTCTTATATAACCTCTGCTTTTGGTTAAGATATCTCCCTTGGAATTTCCTCTCTCCCGCAGGCCTCTAAGTTTGCTGTCCACCTCCAAGAGTTCCCAGGCCCAAGGGCTGACCACTTGTGCTTCTTTTCGGAGAAAGATTTGCCAAGACACAGTTCCTGAAGGGAGTGGAGGTCGCCTGGCTTGAGTCCCGAGAGGATGCTCAGGGTTTGCAGTGGCAGGGCTGGATCCGTCCCGCAGGTGGGTATATCCACGCACGCCCAGGTGATAACCCCACGCAGCAGAGCTTCCCCCCGTGCCCCTTACCCCCACAGTCCTTTCCCAGCCACTCAGCAAGTTTGCTGGCTGGCTGGTATCTCAAAACGTAGGTGAATTCCGGCATGAAGTCAGGTTTGCATTAGCACTGCCAGTCCCCTCACTGGGCTAACTCACCTCCGGGCGTCCCTTTGTTTCAGAAAGAGGAGACCCGAGCAGGAGGGAAGACTCTTTCTTTGGGCTGAGACTCAGCAGATGGAGCCCAGCATCTGATCGCTGTAATGCCATTCCCCTCCTCGAGGGCCTTCCCCTGTCCACATTACGTGGACACGGGTCTAAACTATATATTTTATTGCTGAGTGCTCTTTCTAGTGAAGCACAAGGTCTCTCCTTGCAGCCAAGGCTCCCGTAGCAGGACATGGAAGTAAAAGCACCATCACAGCATGATGTAGAGCAGACAGAGGGTACAAAACCAGCTGCCCCCAAGGACAGAGAGTGCAGCGGTAGAGGCTGGCAAGCTCAGGGGATGGAGGATGGACACCCTTGCATGCACCAGTGCCTTGCCATCAACAGCCTGGTCCTGCTGGCCCCATCCCCAGAGAGACCTTGCTTCCTCCCCAAGAGCAGCAGCCTGACACTGGGCAGGCAGCAGATCTGGCTCCGTAGCCTCTGCTCTAACGTCCTGGCAGGCTCACGGCTGCAGCAAGTCACTCTGCGGAAGGGACAGACCTAAGCACGTTGTATCCCCACACCAGAACAGAACTTTTCTGCTCAAAACCTCCTCTATTCCCTCCCCCACATACATGCTGAGAGGTTCAATAAGAGGCAATGCCCCTCTTTGCAAACCATCCCATTCAAAGAGCCTCCAAAAGTATTTACTAAAAGCACCCACGGATTTTTAAGTAATCTTACTTAAAACCTTTAACCTGAGAGCATCATGATTACAATCTAGGTATCACAGGGCCTCAAACAAGCAAAAGCAGCCCAGCTCCCCATGCACAGACCTGTTCCGCAGGGATGACCAAGACCCTGCTGGGGTCCGGTCCAGAGAGGCGAGCGGCAGCAAGCTGCTGCAGGCTCTGGCTTTGCCCCTCGTGTCTCCTTCCAGCGATGCAGCAGCCTACTGCAACGGCATCTTCCCAGGGCTGAACTTGCAGCTCAGATCACAGAGACTGTGGTCATCTGGATTATCCACTTCTTGGAGAAAAGCTGCTCAGACCAACACCAGCTGCCTCTGCTGATGCGGCAAACGTGATTTATTAGGTCTGTGCAGGGGGCCTAGTCCTGCAACAAGCATAAAAGCAACGCCCCAGCCCTCCAGCAAATTCATCCTCGTGTGGCCCTGGTCTCCCCAGCTGACAGGGACCTGGCAGCCACCAGACTACCCAAAGGAAAGGTTGTTGGCAAAAAAAAACCCCAACACCAAAACCAAACAGATAAGAGGGTTTTTGCTTCTTTTGGTTCAGTTTTAAATGCTAGGTTGAAAAAAGAAAACTGCTGAGCCTTCCCCTGAGCAGTTCAGGCTCACATCTGGGTGTCACAGCCACCAGATTTCAATGCAAAACTGCATCAGCACATTGGGGATTATGTGCATGCGATTAACAAGGTGTCACTGAAACGTGGCTACCTCCAGGGAGAAGCAGGGTGACTTTATCCCAGCATTGCTGCAGGGGGGGGAACTACCTGGACATGCCGCAGCTCCCATTTGGAAAGGGGCAGCCCTTCAGGGGATGGATGTGGACCATTTTCAAGAAAGCAGCTGAGTTTCAGCCCTTTCTGACAAGATGTTGCATGGGCCGAGATGGTCTGGCTCCTATGTGGCTCCGACATCTGGTGTTTAACATCCCTGGATGTAGTGCTTGCATGCCTCTGCCCACCCGAAGGAGGTTCTCTGCTGTCTGATTGTGGCAGCAAGATGTCACTTGAGGAATGGAGAGAGCATCTTGTCATGACACGGGTTCAAAAATCACCATTTGAGGATGGGGAGGCAGCAGGGTGGACAGATAACCCATGCAATTGCATAACATCAATTCCTTTAAAAAAACCTGTTAAGCCAAAGAGGGAATTCCCCTCCCTACCACAAAGAAGGTAAATCTCTACAAACAGAAGAGAAAGCAGATAAGGAATCACTGTCAAATACGCCAAGTATATTGACTGAAAATTATACGTTGCCATCTACATACAGCCTAGGAAACCTCTAAGACTTCAGTTCACCAACACCGCTAATAAATCAGGACAAGGACAAACCCAGCCCTGGTTCTCCCCCCCTGCTCCTGGATAAGGTTCTGCTGAACTATAAACCCTGACTGATGTTTTATGCCACATCCACCTCTTTGCACTATTCAGGCTAGATTTTAAAGTTCTTGAGAGGGTCAAGAAGACTCAAAAGTAAAGTTTTCTGTGTGGGTGCTACCAATCACCACACAAACAAGCAGTCTTCCCCCAGCACGTCCAGTGTCTCCAGGGTTCGCTTCCAACTCCCCTAACATAACAGTTATCTCACACGTACACCCCAGAGGAATCCACAGTACGTGCTGCAGCCAAGAGCAAAACCAGGGTTAAAAAGTCTCTTTCCACAAGCCAGCGTAATGCTTTGCACCAGAACAGGAACTCCCCTTGCAGTTTGCAAAGTTGATCCCTGCTTGACTACTGTTTCTTGCAAAACCCTCGTAGGCTGGCCCAAAACACAGCTCCCAGCACCTCCAGATGAGTTGGAAGCGCAAGCTGCATATGGCACGCAGCAGCCAAGAACAGCCTGTCAAAAGGAGACTGTTGCCTGAAGAAACCAGTAAGCAGTTACAAAACCAAACATCCATCAGGGAGGAGTCACGCACCATGGCCAGGAGATTTCAAACCCTTTATTGCTGCCCAGTCCGTAGAGATGTCGGGACTTCCCCACGGTGCTCTGGATATAGACGGTACATGCGGTCTTCCAGTTGTTTTTCAGCAAGGACACCACCAAACTCACAACCAGGTGAAATTTGGAGATGAATTTGTCTTTGGTCATCTTCATGTGACTGACAGCCACAGCCAGAGCACTAGGGACAAGGACACTGAGGTCACTTGGTAGAAGCTTTGCAGGGAAACTGCGAAGACCGCAGCCTGCTACCTAATAAAGCCAGAACAGCAGGCTCAGACCTTGATGATCAGGGCACAATTTCTATTTATGTCATATTTTGGGCAGCTCTACAATAGCTTCAATATACTCAGCCACTAACTCACTGGTATGCAAATACATCAACAATTTGGCTCCCTGGAGGTTTCTTTCCTCCAGCTAATGTAGACTTTGAAGCATCATCAGTCCACTATCACCTAAAATAACTTAAGAGATTCTTATAATAAAGAAATCTGTGCTCTCAACATTAACAGCATCACTTAATGCTTCAGAGTTTCATTCCTCTGGCTGGGTCTAAACATTAACGAGCAAACTTGAAGCAGTAACATATCACACCTACATATTTTAATCCTTCTTCTCCCTTTGTAGATGTAAATGTTTATGAATTTTTAAATAGTTCCTGAAGTATGCAATGCTTCATTACCTCCATTACAGGCCAGCACTGCCTCCCTCAGAGTCCATCCACTCTCCCCCATCCTTATCTTCCCAGTCCTCCGACCAGAGGGTGCCCAGATGAGGTTTCCAGTGGGTGTTTTCAAGGATACGGGATAGAAATTTGGAAACAGTCATGCTATAGAAGCACTTTTTGTTAGTGTATCACTCACTACTTTGCAATGGGAAGTGTCATCATCACCACATAGAAAAGCAGAAGTGGGACACGGCCTCTTGCAAGCCCCGGCCAAACAGAAAAAAAAAAAAAAAAAAGGCAGATTTAAAGAACACTGAAATTTACCAGTTCTTCATCTAAACCCCACTCTCCTGCAGCCTGAGATTTGTAAATCCCAGTAGACCAGATAAACCACCCAGCAGATCACTCCTGCATCACCCAGAAATCAGCTTAGCTGTCAGACAGAAAGGCTGACATGCACAAAATGTAGCACTTGTGCCTTGGCTCCTTCGAGCCAAGATAAAAATGATGATAGCCAATTAAGCCTAGTCCAGAATTACCATCTTCAAACAGCCTCAGATCAGTTTGCATCTTGATTCAGTGATGTGTTAAGGGCATTAAGAACTAAGGACCTGTGAACTCCATGCAATATTGCCTGCCAGCTGCTGCAAGCCATCACAACACTTGAAATATGGAGGTTTTTGGACAAGATGACTCTTTGCATTAACTACCAGAGTGCCACTGGGAGCAAGGAGAGGGAGGTTTGACATCTTTGTGCAGACCTGAAGCCCTGGAGGAGCAGCCTGCTTCATCAAGGGCTGATGCCAGGAAGGCATCATGCTTCTCAGCTGTGACACAAACAAAACAAGGGTATACACAGGAAACATTGCACCCATGTCACTCCATTTTTTAACAGAAAGTGGATCTAAGTCGATTAAAACAAGTAGAGACACCTGCAAACCAGACTGATGGATGCTCAGTCAAGCTCTTCAGATTTATAAGTTATCAAAGATGCTGGCACAGACAGGAGACATCACATCACCCAGCATACTCATCAAGCCAAAGGGGATCTGAAAGCAGAGAGGGGCTTCTCCTTCGTCTGCAGCTTCTTGTGGCCCAGTCGGGTAATGTGGGGACCTGCTTGATGAAAAACCCTTTTTTATAAGTGAACATACAGAGAGAATGGGTGACGTTCCCCCTCCGAAGGAAACTGGCAGCTGGCTGTGGGTCCAGCATCACTGCAGCATCACCCCACCTGCCTTCAGGAACGGTTCGAGTACTTGTGTGCCAACACGGCTCCATCAATAACGCAAAAATAATGGAATTTTTGTTCTCCTGATTAAAGAAAGTCACCTTCTGGGCACAAACTATCTCCAAAGGAGTCACCTTTATGCAATTCCCCCCCTCCTCCAGGTGATGTGCAGCTGGGCCACCCCTCACATCCAGGGCTTTGCGGTGCCAGCACTGCTGGAGGTTGTGAGAGGGAGGAGAGCTGCTGCGCTGAGACATCCTGCAGGCCCCGAGACATCCGGCCCTTCCACAGCCCCTCCTGTGTCACCGTCCTGGGAGAGGTGAGGAAGGAGGTGCCACGCTGAGCGTGGCAGGGCGGGAGGTGACATCTTGAGCGTGGTGAGGTGCCCATGGCCACAGGCTCTGAGGTGGCCCACAAACAGACCAGACACAGAGACAACTGGAAATGTATTAATTGTTTAACCAAGAAAACTCTCATCGTCAAGCCTCAGGGTGTGCGTGGGGCTGGGATGACGTTGCCCAGCGACAGACTACCTCAAACCAGGCCAGCCGAGCACAAGGCGCCGCTGCAAGGTGCCGGGCAGAAGCAGGGGCACTGTGTGCCACAGCCCATGCTGGCTGTGTCTCCATCACACCGGTGGTGAGCCCCAGTGAGGGACTGGGCTGCAGCTCCCAATGCCTAACGAGCATCCTCTGCCCAAGGAAGCCATCGCCCTGCGTTTCCCTTTGGCGCTCACCTGGGAGGAGGAGGGAAAAAGAGGAGGGAAATCAAGACAAGGGAAACCCACCATCAACCACACTCCAGCATGGCTTCTGACGGCACTCGGTGGTTTCCCACCACCCGGGACAGACCAGGAGCACAGAGGCTGCCATCCCTCATGAGAGATCCCAACCTGGAGGGTACAGCATCCATCTCACCTCGCTCCTTCCAGTACAGCCTGCAGCGATTTCTTCAGAGCCGCGTTGCTCCGATCCAGAGCGGCAGCCAGACGGCTCCGATGTGCTGGGGTGACCTGGGACAGAGAGGAGCAAGGTGCTCGGAGAGCTGCACTGTCAGGAGCCCACCTGAGACCCCCGGGCCAGGTCCTCGGTCAGATGCAGCCCTGGCTGATCTGCAGGACCCAAGCCTAGTCTTACTCACCTGGCTTTGGTACATGGTGAGCACAGCCGTCACCAGCTTGGCGTAATTCAGTGATGTGGCAAAGGCTGGGGCCTGCCGGCACAGAGTCAGGACCAGGCGATCGAAGAGCTCAGGGGGCAGCACCTCCTGGAAGAGAGCCACGAGCGGGGAGGAGAGCTGGTCCTTGCTCCAGCACTGCTGGAGCTAGCAAGGAAACCCAGGGGGACAAGGGGGGTCCCCTCACCTGCCGCCCCAGCACGGCCTGCATCACCGGCAGGAGCTTCTCAGACAAAGACACCTCTAGGACTTGGCTGCAAGGGGCAGGAAAGAGGAGATGCGCTGCTCACACAGCCTCGCGGGCGCTCCTGAGCGGCTGGAGCCAGCCGGACCCATCAAGGCAGGCGCAAGGGCCGAAGCAGAGCTGTCACCCCTGTAATCTCTTACCTTAGCACCAGTCGCACACAGTCTGGCTCCAGGCACTCCTCCACGAGCTCGCACACCAGCTTGGTCTGCTCAGCGCCTGCCAGGGCAAAGCAGAAGGGGGAGAGGCTGCCAAATCCAGGGGATGTGCCCGACCCTTCCTGGCACCCCTTCACACAGGGGTACATCCCAGTCAGGACACCCAGAAACCACCCAGTGCCCTTTTCTACCGTTCAGGTTAATCCAGCTTCCTTTGCCCATCTGCAGCAAGGGTTTAATTAGCACCAGTCCCTAGGAAAAGGGGATTCACACGGGACCCTCTTCTTGTGCCTGCAGAGCCACTCTGGGGCAGTTCTGGCCCCAGCATTAGGAGCTGTCAGGAACCCTCTAGTCCATGAAGGGATGGCAGCTGTCCTTTGGGAGAACTGATGCTGGAAAACAGCCTGGCCTCCCCCCCTTCTCCATCTCAGGCATCTGTAAATCCATCTCCCATCCTAACTCCCAAGTGTACCTGCCCAGATAAAACCAGCACCATCCCTTTGTGGTTCCTAATATACATTTTGGGTGATAAACGCTCCCCAGGAGACAGTAGTTGGGGCTTCCCTTCCTGCTGGATACAGCCCGCAGCCCCTCTCCAGCTCTCCCAGAAGCCATGCCCGCTGTGAGCCCATCGCACCTTCCCCCGGCTCCCGCAGGACCGCAGCCACCAGGACGCGACAGAAGGGCTGGGAATACTTGGAGCAAAACGAAGCGAGGGCAGCCATGAGGTGACGGGAGGGCGGCTGGGTGAGGGACAGGACCTATGGACAGAAAAGACAGGAGATGGGGATGGGGGTGAGGGAAACGGTGCAGGAAACCTCTGCCCCTGCACTTACTCGCTGGAGGAAGAGCTGCTCTGCCAGGATGGTCGCGCTGGTGTAGCTGAGGTTGGGGGTGAGATCCAGCAGCCAGCTGCAGAAACGCACCAGGAGGTGCTCCGGGCACGTGGAGAGCTGGAGGAAGCAGCACAGCCCCTCAAGCTGGGGACAGCAGAGAGGACAGGGACATTAGGGACAGGCAGCAGGCCCTCGGTGGCACTGGCCGTTGCAGCAAGGATGCTGAGGCTCACCTGACTGGAACAGCAGTTGTTCAGGATGCGCAGCTCAGGTGGGGTGCTCAGCTCCGAGTGCTGCAGGGAAACACCGTCCTTGGGTAATACATCAAATAAAGCAACCCACAAAATGCAGCTCCAGGGCTTTTCTCTTCCCTACCAGCCCCTGCCAGCACTGACCCTGCACGCTGTCCATCGTACAGCAGGTCCCTGTGAGGTGGAGGCAGGTACGAGCCCAGAGGAGGTGGCACTGGGGCTGTCTTTTTACTCCCTCCAGACGCCCGTGTGAAACCCACCTCCTCTCCTACCCCTTCCAGAGGCCCTGGCCCGTTCAAACCACCAGCTTCAGGAGAGAGACAGAAGCAACCACTTACATTGGACTCCTTCTGCAGCAGCATTTTCAGCCTCAGTCCGTGCACCTGCAGAAAATGAGGTGAAGGAACAGAAGTCAGACTGCAAAGGCTCACCAGCTGGAAGGGGAAAGCAAACCCTGCCCGGTACCTGGAGAAAGGACTGGACCTCCGCTGCCAGCTCTGCCTGGGAAATCTTCCTGGACTCCCCGGCCGCATCCTGTTGGGAGCTTTCCAGAGCATCTCCGGCCAGGCTCTGAGCAGACCTGTCCCCTGAAGGCTCCCCAGGCACCTCCTCTTCCACCCCCGCCGCATCCCAACCCTCCTGGGTTTCTGGGGGTTCAAATGCCGCTTCCTCCAGCAGCAACTTCTTCCCCTCTCTCTCCTCGTCCAACTCCAGGTTCTCCTCCGACCCCTTCTTGCGCTTCCCACCTTGAAGCACAGAGTCAACCACATCCCCAGCAGCATCAGGCTGCTTGCTGAAGCACCAGTTCAGTTTTCTTTGCCCTTCTGGTTTGTTCTGGGCAATTTTCCGGCACAGACACATAAGCTGCTGCTGGCATGCAGACGATAAGGGAGCGGGAGGTGGGGCGCACTCCTCTCCCCTTGATCCCTGACGGAGCAGATCCCCCAGCGTCCGCACCCAGGGATCCAAGTGGGAATCCTGCTCCACGGCCTGGAGCAGCTGGCTGAGGCAACCCCCTGGCACCACGGTTTGCACCACATGCAGCAGGGAGAAGAGGTTTCTCTGGCACACGACCGGGAGCAGCAACAGACGCGGCTTGCTGGAAAAGGGGAGAAAAGGGAGAGGCGACGCATCAGAGCAAATCCCCAAGTCCTTATCGCCAACCTGCCCCGTGGAGCAGGGTCTAATGGGACCAGGAAGCGAGAGGAGGCAGCAAACGCCTTCGCCAGGTTTTGCAGACATAAAGTGAAAGACCAGCAGATCCCCGCTACTATCCTGACTTCACATACGGACCGTCGCACTGAGGAGGAAGAGGATGCGCTGTGCCAAATTGGGCACCTGACGTGCCAAACCTCCCACCAAACACCGAGTTTGGGAAACGCGGACGACTCACACAGCCAGGGCACCCTCCGGCCCCTCTAGCGTGGGCTCCTCGGCGCACAGGGCTGCAGCGAAGGCCTGCCAGGGAAACGCCTGCCCTGGTCCCTCAT